TGCAATAATCAATCAAAAACATGATATCACACCTAATGACACTGGCTTGATAAGCATTCAATCTTTTCGAATTTTTATAACTCTCAAACATATTTGATGCTTTTTCTGAAAGGACGTTTTTGACGAGTTTCTCACTCAATAATTTCCATTCTGATTCAATGAGTTGATCTGCCTCATCAAAGAATTCAAGGGTATTTTCGCTTATCTCAATTTCAGAATCTTCATCATCAGAATATTCTTCGTTATCAGAAGTTTTCTTCTATTCTTCATCATATTTATAATCGCTTACAATAGTCTCCACCAAATTTGGTTGAAGATCTTTACACATCCATTTACGATGAGGCAACATAGGAGAGTTGTCACTAGATGATTAAAGCGTAGAAGATATTATAATGAGATAATTAATATACTATCTGTGATCTTAAACAATTGGATATGAATTACCTCTCTTGTAGGCGTCCAGTGTATGATTTTCAAACCTATACACATATGCAGAAGACGCACACTATATGATGGAATTATATGCGGAAATTGCGCTGGGTAGTGTGCAGATGTCACACAGCGATACACAAATAATTTTCAACTGTACACAAAAAAATTTTTTAATTAAATTTACCAAGGTTTTATAATGTATAAATGTCTTTATTAATTGAATACAAAAAAATATTACATAAAATGTTCAAGTATATTTACAAAAAATACTATACAAAATGTTCAAATGTATTTAAAAAAAATATTATGTAAAATGTTCAAATATATGAATATTTTCTATTCATTAGATTCATTAGCTTGTTGAATATATTGATTTACCCAATAATTATATGTGCTATTCCAATCAAAATCACGAAAATTATCAGGTCTATTCAAAAATATCATCAAATGCATATTTAATATTTCATGATTCATCTGATTCCTTAATTTGGACTTGGTTAATTTATGATGGAAAAATACCCGCTCAACATGAGCATTAGAAAAAGGAATTAACAAGGCTATCCTAATAAGTTTAGAAATTAATGGGTAATCATTAATAAAATGTGATTTTGTATTCCATATATGTTCCCATCCTTTTACCAAATCAAAATCACGGATTGATTTCATTATTTGCTTAACTATCTCATTCTTGATTTAATTCTACTTCATTAAAATATGCAGGAAATTTTTCACCAGTAGCTGTAAAACGATCATTTCCATAATATTCTATCAAAATTTTAATTTCATTATTTTCATAATATGCAATGTCACTTTCTCTTTGAAGTAAAAATTTGGGATTGAAAATTCTTAGCATATTGTAAACTTCTGAATCCAGAAATTGATTTTTTAAGGCTCTAATAATTGCTTCAGAAAATTTTAATATAAAAGAAGGTATACTGTTAGAATGAATATTATTATCTTCTATATATTTATATAGAATTGTTCCATATATTGGAGAAACTTCTTCAATTCCAATAAATTGCGCTTTGATGGCTGAAATAGTTATTTCTAAAGAATGCTTTAATTCTAAAAGATCTACATAATCACGTTGAAAAATCTTGATCATTTTTGATAAAATGTACATTAAATCTGCCAAGAACATTGTTGATATAATAAATTCTGAATCAAGATTATTAACTAATTGAGAAGCCTAAGTCCTATCTTTAGGATTGTCTGTATTGATCATGTCATCATTAAGAGCATCAATAACTGAAAAAATAACTTAATGGAGATTGTGTACAACATTCAACATAGATAACCATCTTGTATTAATAATATTCAATATGATAAGTTGTGGATCTTCGTTAATATCTTGCATAAGCTTTAAATTTTACATTCGTTTATATGATCCACTGAAATATCCATATAATTGTTTACAAATAACTTTATATTCTTTAAAATATGCTACTTCTTTTACAGCATCTTGACTAGCTAAATGAAGTCTATGTGCAATACAATGAACAGAAGTCATGAAAGGATTTTCTTTTTTCAATTGTGTTGCTACACCATTAATATTTTCTAAATAAAAAAATAATCATATGAATTAACTAATTATATATTAAATTATTTTCATTATAATTTACAACTAACCTATCATAACAGAAGCACTGTCACTTCCAAAATGAGCAATGTTTTCAATTTGCAAACCTTTTTCATCTAAAAAGCTTTTTATTTGTGTTGTAATATTATTAGCGCTGCAATCGTCAAGTTCTATCAATCCTAAATAATGTAATACTAACACATTATTTGCTATATGTTTTGAGACAATTACCAAGTGTTTTTTGTCAGTTATTGCAGTTGATTCATCAATTAAAATACTCCATCGCTCAGAAGCCTTAATTTCATAAATCAATGCTTTTTCTATAATATAAAAAATTGCTTCTTCAAATTTTTGAGCATATTTTGAATTATTATATGATCCATATTGAGAAGTTTCAGCAGGTGGATTTAAAGAAGAAAGAAAAGGAAGTTGAAGAAGTTGTGGTGTAGTAATTTTTGAAGATCTATTGGAATTTAGTACTAAATTACATAATTCAGGATAAAGGTTTAGTGAAA